ATTGATATTTATATGTTAGGAGGATTTCGAGTGGAGAGTTATTGTATTTAGGAAGAGAGTTGATTGTTGGTTGTGATATTGTTAACAATTCTTATTTTTAAATATTGTTTTAATATTATTATTATAATAAAATAAAAATATTTTATAAATTTAATCTTTAAATTTTTAAATAATATATATAATTATATTATATTATATTATTATATTATATTATATTATATTATTAATTAATTATTGAATTATAAGTTAAAATAAGAGTCCAAAGACTTTTGTAACAAACTGCATATATTTTTCATTATTTTAATTATTTCAATTATTTTTTATTTAATTATTTTAATTAATTAATTAATACCAGATGATACATATTTTTTGTTCTGTTTTGTAAATAAATAAATAAATTATACAGTATTATTTAAATTCTAAAATATAAAATAAATAATTGATTTTCTTTAATAAATAAATAATAATACATAAATATTTTTAAAATATATTATATAACTTTAATTAAATTAAATTTATATTGAATAATTTAAATTATGCATCAAAAATTTATTGTATTTATTTCTAATAAAACTTTTTCCAATTATAATTATCTATAATTAACTAAATAGTATTAAAACATGTCTTAAAATTCTCCATTATTCTATTTTGAATATTATCAAAAACCATTACTCTATTTTTAAAATCAATTTTTAATCAACTACTAATATATTTTCGATCTCATCAACAGTTTTAGCAAGAATAGTTGCTGGAAATTCATATCTATTTTTCGGATCCTTTATAGCATCACTTATTCTTTTATAAGTCTCAACAAACATTTTCCCCACTCTCTTATTAACTTTCTTGGTTAATTCTGGAGGAATTCCTTGTAATTTGAATGTGTCGCTGTCGGCTAAGGATAAGAATGAGTCTAATCTTGCCATTATGTTAGTTAAGGAATTGGTGTCCATGTTAGACATAAGTGATAATGGTGTCTGACAAATATTTAATGAACGTAAATAATTTACATATTAATAAAATAAAAGTATATGAGACTAATGTAGTAAATTAACAAAAACTCACATTTTCATCTCTAGTTTCCATAGCCCGAACTATTGGTCCCAATCCAGATTGCTTCAACAGCTTTGTATACTATGTTTGAGAAAAATCAAAAAAATTCATTACGGGCTTTTTTTGTATCAACAGATATGTGCATATATTAAATTAACCTGTCCATCCACCAGTATTTCCATATTCTCTTCAATTTGCCTTTCTAATGACATAACTCTTCCATGAGTAAATGAGTACATGGTTAATGACGACTATAAGAATCACATAGAATTAGTTATTATATTAGAAAAGAAAATATAACAAATAATCTTACCTGTACACAATAAAGACAATTGATCATATAAATAGCTTGCTTGAATCGAGACAAATCTTTCGTGCCTAGTTCACACATTTGGAACAAAGGATCCAGTATCGCATCTAAGACCGCACGGAAATCTTCTTCACGCTCAGTAACCGTGACCAAAGATGTTTCATAAGAAGTCATAATTTCTCTCTATATTAAAGAATAATAAATAAATATTCAACAAATCAACTACTGATATGCATATGTTAAAAAATTACCAACTGCAGCACTGTTTCTTTCACTGCAGGCGGAGGCATTAAATCTGAGCCTGGGGTCTATGTCCAGAGCGTAACAAGGCTTAATTCTTAAAAAGATCTTTTTTGAAAATAAAATATAAAAACTTATTATAATAAGACAATACTTGTATATATCGTAATAACTGCTCTGCTTGAGAGTTTAATGTATTGAAAAAAATTTTAGACGCGGATTCTGCAATACTATAATTTAAACCAGAGTAAGTTAATATAAAACTTTTTATCAAAATAAAATATTGATTTTTCCTTACTCCTGAAGTGTGATCGACAAAGAAGCATTAGGACCCAAGATCCGCGCTATTGTAATATTATAGAATTGTATCAAATTCAATATTCTATATGCTGTTATCGCTCCTTGTTGGGATCCCAAAACTTGTTCTACACGTGTCTAAGAAAATTTTTTATCTTTTTACTTATCTTTCTATTTTGCAATTAATCACGTCAAGAGCAATAAGGTTCGTTAAAAAGTACCTTCAATGAACGACATGTACCATCTAAATTACGGTCTAAAAGATCCTGGATTATGATGTCATCGCTTTCCCACGTCACTTCTTTGTCATTAGTCTCTACTTCTTGTTCTAGAAGCACAACCATATCATTTAGATACAACAAATTTCATATAACAAGAAGCCATCACGATATCTAGAAACTGACTTTTTGGCTCAAATAGTCCTTCTAGGTATTCCTTTTCACTGGCAACATTTTGATGCACCCAAGCTAGCATATCTCCAACATAACGCAAAGGGTCATGTGCTAACATTTCAATCGGACGAGGAGTACCTCCAGGACCGCCTCGAGTCAATGCTTCTATGAATAAGCGTGTGATCGCGTTCCTTCTTACGTGGACAAGTTCTTCAAGACAAGATCTATATAGAAATCCATATTGTAGGAGAGATGTAAAAAATTCAAAAAAATTCATATTGTAGTAAAAAAGGATTCCTACTGAAATAAAACGGGACGTTGTTTTAACGCTTTTAATGCATATCTTAAAGCCACTGGTATCTCTTGTACTTCGTGGCCCAAATCACGAGATTCTTTTTGAGTCCACCGGTATAATTTATCAAAAGCTGTTTCCTTGTAAGAGTTCATTCTCTCCATGATTTCAAGCCTATAGTGTAATTGTTTTATATACTCATTATGCCAAAAAGACGATATCAAATTTCTGATTTATTACCCAGCTCTTTGGTTTTCCGTTATCAATAAAGACTCACAATCTCTATGAATTCGTTGCAAATGTTTTAATGCCTCAAAGAATTCCGGAGTTATTTCTGCCTCGGGTGATGATAGTAAAGAAACTTCTTTTTCTGAAAGTGTAAACCTCTCTAGAAACGCGTCGATTAAAATTTTCCGTGTTTTGCATGTTTCTCTAGTGTAAAGTAACTTTTTTAGAAACTCGAAATGAACAAACAGAGGAATTTATGAATATATATATCATACCTTTGTGATTTCAAATTATCACTTTGTTCGAGCAATAAGGAAGTCTGACGATTGGCTGAATCGAGACTTTTGCTGACCTCATCACAAAAAGTATTCATTTCTTTAATTTCTGATTCGATTACTTCTAATTGCTAAATAAAAACATTTTAAGTTCATATCGCACAATCTTAGACAGTATGAACTTAAATCCTAATTTTCACCTTTATAACCTTTCCAAATATTTCTAAAAATACACCATTTGTTTCGATAGCCTTTTGTCCAATATTCCTCCTTAAATTTCTGCGTTCTTCTATTGAATTGACTGTATAAAATTCCGAAAGCGCCTCTAAAGATGTTTTCATTTTAGTGTCATCTATTGAATTAGTCAACAACCTAGAGACCTTTTGAGATATAGGTTTATCTTCAATTAAAGTCTCCGCTGATGACGTAGAAGTCGAATGCAACATTGATGCGACTACTTGAAACGTGAGGTAATAGGGACTTCTGAAGTTATCACAAAATAGTATTGATATACGCGAATTTCGTAATTACTTCGGTAATGTAACACATTAAAAAAATTGAATTATTAAATACGTATTAATAAGTTATTATATTTGAAATTTCATTAATTTTCCTTAATTTCTAACATTATATTAAAAAAATATTATATAATAATTATTTTTTATTTTTTTTATAAAAATTTTAAATAAAAAATTTATTATATTAATTATAAATATAT